ATTACCGGTCACACAGGGGTCATTGTTTGTGACATTGATCATTACCGGTCACACAGGGGTCATTGTTTGTGACATTGATCATTACCGGTCACACAGGGGTCATTGTTTGTGACATTGATCATTACCGGTCACACAGGGGTCATTGTTTGTGACATTGATCATTACCGGTCACACAGGGGTCATTGTTTGTGACATTGATCATTACCGGTCACACAGGGGTCATTGTTTGTGACATTGATCATTACCGGTCACACAGGGGTTATTGTTTGTGACATTGATCATTACCGGTCACACAGGGGTCATTGTTTGTGACATTGATCATTGTCGGTCACACTGAGGTCATTGTTTGTGACATTGATCATTGCCGGTCACACTGAGGTCATTGTTACAATGATCATTACCGGTCACACTGAGGTCATTCTTACAATGATCATTACCGGTCGCACTGAGGTCATTGTTACAATGATCATTACCGATCACACTGAGGTCATTGTTACAATGATCATTACCAGTCACACTGAGGTCATTGTTACAATGATCATTACCGATCACACTGAGGTCATTGTTACAATGATCATTACCGATCACACTCAGGTCATTGTTACAATGATCATTACCGATCACACTCAGGTCATTGTTACAATGATCATTACCGATCACACTCAGGTCATTGTTACAATGATCATTACCGATCACACTGAGGTCATTGTTACAATGATAATTACCGGTCACACAGGGGTCATTGTTAAAATGAAACTTACCGGTCACACTGAGGTCATTGTTACAATGATCATTACCGATCACACTGAGGTCATTGTTACAAATTACCGGTCACACTGAGGTCATTGTTTGTGGCATTGATCATTACCGGTCACACTGAGGTCATTGTTACAATGATAATTACCCGTCCCACTGAGGTCATTGTTACAATGATCATTACCCGTCCCACTGGGGTCATTGTTACAATGATCATTACCGGTCACACTGAGGTCATTGTTACAATGATCATTACCGGTCATACTGAGGTCATTGTTACAATGATAATTACCGGTCACACTGAGGTCATTGTTACAATGATCAATACCGATCACACTGAGGTCATGTTTGTGACATTGATCATTGTCGGTCACACTGAGGTCATTGTTTGTGACATTGATCATTGCCGGTCACACTGAGGTCATTGTTTGTGGCATTGATCATTACCGGTCACACTGAGGTCATTGTAACAATGATAATTACCCGTCCCACTGAGGTCATTCTTACAATGATCATTACCCGTCCCACTGGGGTCATTGTTACAATGCTCATTACCGGTCACACTGAGGTCATTGTCACAATGATCATTACCGGTCACATGAGGTCATTGTTACAATGATCATTACCGATCACGCTGAGGTCATTGTTACAATGATCATTACCGGTCACCCTGAGGTCATTGTTACAATGATCATTACCGGTACCACTGAGGTCATTGTTACAATGATCATTACCCGTCCCTCTGAGGTCATTGTTACAATGATAATTACCGGTCACACTGAGATCATTACCGATCACACTGAGGTCATTGTTACAATGATCATTAACGATCACACTGAGGTAATTGTTACAATGATCATTACCGGTCACACTGAGGTAATTGTTACAATGATCATTACCGGTCACACTGAGGCCATTGTTACAATGATAATTACCCGTCCCACTGGGGTCATTGTTACAATGCTCATTACCGGTCACACTGAGGTCATTGTCACAATGATCATTACCGGTCACATGAGGTCATTGTTACGATGATCATTACCGGTCACACTGAGGTCATTGTTAAAATGATCATTACCGGTCACACTGAGGTCATTCTTACAATGATCATTACCCGTCCCACTGGGGTTATTGTTACAATGATCATTACCGGTCACACTTAGGCCATTGTTACAATGCTAATTACTTGTCACACTGAGGTCATTGTTACAATGATCGTTACCGGTCACACTGAGGTCATTGTTACAATGATAATTACCCGTCCCACTGGGGTCATTGTTACAATGCTCATTACCGGTCACACTGAGGTCATTGTCACAATGATCATTACCGGTCACATGAGGTCATTGTTACAATGATCATTACCGGTCACATGAGGTCATTGTTACAATGATCATTACCGGTCATACTGAGGTCATTGTTACAATGATCATTACCGGTCCCACTGAGGTCATTGTTACAATGATCATTACTGGTCACACTGAGGTCATTGTTACAATGATCATTGCCAGTCACACTGAGGTCATTGTTTGTGGCATTGATCACTTCCATGCAAACTGAGGTTATTGTTACAATGATCATTACCGGTCACACTTAGGCCATTGTTACAATGATAATTACCGGTCACACTGAGATCATTGTTACATTGATCATTACCGGTCACACTGAGGTCATTGTTACAATGATAATTACCGATCACACTGAGGTCTTTGTTACAATGATCATTACCGGTCACACAGGGGTCATTGTTACAATGATCATTACCGATCACACTGAGGTCATTGTTACAATGATCATAACTGGTCACACTGAGGTAATTGTTACAATGATCATTACCGGTCACACTGAAGTCATTGTTTGTGGCATTGATCATTACCAGTCACACTGAGGTCATTGTTACAATGATCATTACCGGTTACACTGAGGTCACTGTTACAATGATCATTACCGATCACACTTAGGTCATTGTTACAATGAGCATTACCGGTCACACTGAGGTCATTGTTACAATGATCATTACCGGTTACACTGAGGTCACTGTTCCAATGATCATTACCGATCACACTTAGGTCCTTGTTACAATGAGCATTACCGGTCACACTGAGGTCATTGTTACAATGATCATTACCGGTTACACTGAGTTCACTGTTACAATGATCATTACCGATCACACTTAGGTCATTGTTACAATGAGCATTATCGGTCACACTGAGGTCATTGTTACAATGATCATTGCCGATCACACAGAGGTCATTGTTATAATGATCATTACCGGTCACACTGAGGTCATTGTTACAATGATCATTGCCGATCACACAGAGGTCATTGTTATAATGATCATTACCGGTCACACTGAGGTCACTGTTACCATGATCATTACCGGTCACACTGAGGTCATTGTTTGTGGCATTGATCATTACCAGTCACACTGAGGTCATTGTTACAATGATCATTACGGATCACACTGAGGTCATTGTTACAATGATCATTACCGGTCACACTGAGGTAATTGTTACAATGATCATTACCGATCACACTGAGGTTATTGTTACAATGATCATTACCGGTCACACTTAGGCCATTGTTACAATGCTAATTACTGGTCACACTGAGGTCATTGTTACAATGATCGTTACTGGTCACACTGAG